TCCTACACAACCAAGAGCGGCACAAATCCATCTAATTGAAAATGTAAATGAAATTTCTTCATCTTGCAAATTGTATACTCACGTCGCAACAAGTGTCTGCAAAGTCATCACATCCTTCTTTTTATCAATGAATCTTTTGAAACGACTTTCCACTTGTGTTCCAACTCAATTTTTACTTTTCTCAAAGTACAGATCAAACTCTGGGGACTCTCTTGTACTGTTTTGTACGAACAGCCATCTAGATATTCCACTATGCTTAGCTGTACATACCTATGATGTTGTTTTATAAATAAATAAAAAAACGTTTGCACACATTGCTTTAAAAATTTTTTTCAGAAGAAACAGGCAAGATTTTTATTACAATGAAGCACTCAAGAGCGATCCTCTTAGGAGGGATGGTTGCGTACAGGAAATTTTAGAAGAAACATTTTCGTACTTTCGTTGCATGTCCAGGAAAATCGTAAAAATCCCATGCAGCCAAATCTTCCAGTTGACAGGAACTGAAGCTGGAGAGAAATACTTGTATTCAGTGGTTTTTACCGTAAACACATGTTAGGTTACTTCAGCAATCATACTTAGACAATTTATTATTGAGATTCTCTTGTTACTCCCCCCCAAAGAGAAAATGGATATATTTCACAGATGAAAATTATGAATTTACATTTATAAATCACATTTTCATTAAGCCCTAATCCGTTAATTTACTATGAACGAGTATTTCTAGGTGTTTTGGTAATAGGTGTAGCAGGCTCAGACTTTCCATTTATTCCAGATCACCGTCATCTAGAAGTGATTAATACGTTTCGTTTCTTCCCAAAGCTAAAAATAAATATTGCTGCGAAATGTTCAGTTTCGATAAGATAGCTTCCCCGAAAAGCGGAGTTAGGGTTTCCAGAAAGTGGCAGTGAAAGGCAGGGTTGCCAGATTTGATGCAAAATCTCCCATTTGGCGACTAAACTGGCGATATGCCATAGACGAAGCGAGAACATTCTAGAACGCATTATAGGCTGTTTTTCTCAGGAATATTCTCGAAGGTAAAATAAAGCTATATATACGCTGCCTGTACGCGGACAGAAGCGTACAGGCAATTAGTGTATTAGTGCCTTGAGCTCAGAAATTAGCTTGAGACCAATCCATCGAGAAGGGAGCTGTACTTAGTGCTTTGCCGTGACGCTGTCTTCACCATTATAGCCTGAAGGCTGTATTGCTGATTGTTTCATCGTAGTTTTTCGACGACTGCAAATGTGTCTTTGAAACTTTTCTGTGTAATACTGGCGAATAAATTGTGCTTCGATTCTTCATCAAGTGTTATCATCAATTACTCCAAATCCGCGAACCTACAGAACGCAACAATATGATTTAATCACATTTATGAGGTTCAGAGAATTTGAAAAAAAAAATTACGTGTGCTGTAACTGTTCATATAAAACCCTTTTTATTATACAAGTAAAAGAAGAGTGAAAGATCTATTATGTTAGAAATAAATAAATTAACTTTCCTACTTCTCAATAAAATAATGATCACAAGTTCATGTTATTGGTTGGCATTTATTTTATTTATTAGAACAAAGAAAGGGGACTTGCAGAAGAGTTCCCTTATTTTTATTTATTCATTGTCACTGGTAACTAATTTTTTCTTTAATGGCTAGTAAACCTAGAAGAATTGCAATACGTTGAGGAAAGTACACTGCGGAAAAAGCAAAAAAGGTGGGGGACAGTTCTATATCTTCCGTTCTAGTGGGCCGATTTACGAAATTCAAATTCCGTTTTCCCTGTCTCGAAAGCGCGACTTCGGTTATATATTAGATTTATATATAGCTTTGTTCTAACATAGGTATTTTGACACAAAATCGGACTTATTCTGGAATAACATATTATTTTTTTTCCATATTTCGATTCTACGACTCAAATTATGCCTAGATATTAAATTTTGTAATTTTTGGTGAAAACATTTATGGAGAAATGTAACAATTTATCTCGGCAGATTGTTTTTCAGGTTTGACGCCAAGAATAATTCACTTTGCAAACTTCTTAATTTATAGCAACCTATTTTCCTTTCCTTTTTCTTCATTGTCCACGAGTGGGAAAAAAGTCATCGTTCATACTTTCAAATAATTTTAACATAGAACGTAAACCACATTTTCGTTATTATCGCTTGTAATAAATACCCCAAATTTCAAAACGCGCCCAAATGTTAATTCACGTATATCTTAAGAAATTTTGAATAAAAAACTCTAGTTTTTGTGCAGGTATGCTTAGAAATACATCTATTTTAAGATGGTGGCAAAAGTTTTCTAGTTTATAAATAAAAATATTTTTTGAAAAAATTATTTAAAAATACAAATTTTAAAAATAAATCATAAAAAATAGATGAATTTTATTTGGATTAAACCTAAATTTCGAAATATGAGGAAAGGAAAAATCAGATAAGTTTATTTAAAAAAAGAGATATCAATAAATATATATCAAATTCAATTAACACTAAGGCGCTAAAATTTTGAGAGCAAATTTTTTAAAAACTACTCGTGCGATTTTTACAAAACTTGACAGTTTGGCATAATTTGAGTCATAGAATCGAAATATGGAAAAACTTTGGCATGACATATCAGAAAATGTCCGATTTCGTGTCAAAATACCCGTATTAGAACAAAACTATATAAAAATCTAATACATATCCTAAATCGCGCTTCGATAAGTGAAAAACGCAAGTTGAATTTCGTCCATCTGCCCACTAGAACGGCAGATATCGAACTATCCTCTACCCCCCCCCCTCCGCATTGTACTTTGTGCATATGTTTCTATTAAGATGAATGTTCTTGAAAATTAAGAATGTTAGATACATTGATCAAATAATTATTTACTTCCTTCTATCACTCCTATTAACAGCCGCTCACTAGTTAATTAGATATTCGCCAAGTTAGTGGCCAAAACTGAGCCTTTTACTTCTCGATACCAAACATGCCGCTTAGTTGAACAAAAAGCGAAGACCAGTATTGCCCCCCAGAAGGAGTAAGAGACAGATGTTGTAGAGTTTCACTCCTTAATTAATTTAGTTTCTTGAACCCAACTGGGATTGTCAGGCGAGTTATCGTCTCGTTTACGTAAATAACAGCTGCATCAGAAGAAAGTTTAAATATCCTTTTTTTAAAAAAATTTTAACTGAAAAGATGCACGTCTAGTGCTTACAACTTAAATCTGCGCAGCTTGCAATAACAGAAATGTGAATTTCAAAATTCATTTTAATTGGATGCTGAAGATATGCACTGCGAAAGCTCTACAAGTGTTACAAATTTAATTAAATTTCCTACTAAATTCGGCTAGCAAAGATGACTAACGCCGGATAACTTAAGTCACAGAGCTGGGCGACTTAATAGTATTATGGTCAGCTTCTCTGGCAAACCTCTTAGACTAAACTTTCAGTAACTTTTTTCTTCTCTGTGCGTATCTCAATTACATACTGGTGAAAGCTAACGAAAAGTATAAGTGATAGTAGTTATAAAATATAAGGTAGTTGGGTAATTAACATAAGTTGCTCCTTAACGTAAGGCATTTAAGTCTTGCGCAGGATTCGAATCCTTATTTGCAATAAGTCCGTGGGAAAGTCTTGTATCTTAATTACTGTGCTGCAAAAAGGCGACTTCCTATTATAGAATACCATGGAATTATAATTGTATTTAATGAACATCTAGTCATGTAATAGATTCTAAGTTTTCTACAAAAAGGAAGTGTTTCTGTTACGTAGAATAAATTCGTACTTTCACGAAATAATTAATAATAAAAAAAAACTACTTAATCAATGTGAAATTCTTTTCATCATTATTTAATGTACTTATTCTTGTTATGTTTTTTCATTCAAATTTTGCTGATTTTTAAACTAAAAAATGTTTTAGAGTAAAATTAACAACTTTTATAAAAGCAAGGAAATGCAAGTTTGTGGGAGCGAACATATTCCGATAGCTATAAACACAGCTGTTTGCTGTGTCACTTTTAGAAGTATTATTTTCAACAAACTGTTAGCAATTTTTTCGCAGAAAATGAAAATTATTTTATTACCATCAACAAATAAAACACTTGTGTTCAGCAACTTAAAAAAAATATTGCAGGTTAAGGAGAATTAATTCAGTAAAGAGCGATGTCTAGTCAGATTCGGTCTTGGGCAGCAATGTATGCTGTCAAACTGTTCTCGACGTCATACTGGAAAGAGTTAAGGTTATAAAAATGAACCTGAAGTACTGAAAAATACTGCTTCAAGCCTTAAGTACAACATTTATGGAAATTTTATTACGTAATTAAATTTATTCTTTTTATTATATTTTATACTGCAACCGCTGTAATATTTATATGTAATCTTTCAGTATTTTTAATTAAATTTTAAGAATTATATTTTTTAAACTTCTCTTTCAGGAGCGTTCAGCATTACGTAATATCCAACATAAACTGCTGCAAAATAAATTCCTTCTTGTTAAAAGAAAAAATAGTGATGAAATCCTTAATCTTAGGTTTTCAAGTGATAAAGCTAATTAGAAATATAATTCTAGCTTAAGTATATCAGGCAATTCAATTAATATTGAAAATGGCTGGAGAAAATGAGACTGTAGACATCAGTAATGTTTAAATATAATGATCAGAAGCTTTCTTGCTAAGTTGAGTTAATTTAGTGCTAGTCCATAATCTTTGATTTGATCTTCTAGCAAGGCACATTCATTCATGTGCACACACATAAACGAAAACATTTGTATCTTAAGTTTGATTTAATATTTGGCTAGCCGATGGTTTACAGGTCATCAGCTCAAAAAAGAGTTTTTAATCTAGCACTAATCTTTAAAATATATTTTCCTGTATAAAAACGTTCAAAAAATCCTTCTACGCTGTTGAGAGTTAAACATTCAGCTTGTAGTTATGTGAATTTGAATAACTTTTCTTGACCTTAATATCTTAATCTTCTGTATCTTGTGCAATTTTAGTTGTAGTCTAACATTCAATACATCTTTTTATTTTCAGATTTTTGGCCAACTGCCGCTTTTCATGCGGCACTTGGACTCAGCGTCCATTACGAAATGTTCGCTTTGGGGAGTTGTCTGACTTTTCGCATTCTTGATCTTCTTCTGCATCATCAATCATTAGTGTAGAGAGTTCCAGGTAAGTGTAGTAGAAAACTGATGAAAAACAGTTGAGTATGAAATATTATTTGACGCCACCTTTTCGAATTTTTTGCCGCATACTATACTTGTGTATCTTTTCCTTTTCTTTATAAATTTTATTATTTAAAAATCGAGATGCGAAATTATGTGATGTTTTTCTGAAAGGGGAGGTGAAGAAAGAACTCGCCTGATTAAAAGGAATATTAGAATTAAAGGATATATTAATACTATTGTAAATTTTTTCCTTCAGTACAATTGTTTTGCTTTTCAACAGCATGCGTTATTTGTTGCTGTTCCCTTGGATTATGGATAAAAGCAAAATATCTTTGAAAGCTGTGTAAATTAAATCTGTAAATTCTGTGTTGAGAAGTTCCTTTTCTGAATTTAGGGATTAAGTTGAAAATTATGAAAATGAAGTAAAAGTTTCTAAATATTACACTAAATAATCTAAACGGGAGAAAATGCAAGCATGAGAAATACTCGAATAAGTACGGTACTAATAAGTAAAGCGAAATTTTACAAAAAAGAGTTGAAAAATACTTTTAAATTTCTTACAGCCACAAATTGTTCTTACGGTTTATAGGTTCATATTTCAAATGTGTGTTACTAAAACTAATTTTCCTTTGATAACCTTTTGATTTCTTTAAGATGACAGAAAAAACTTTTCGTTTGTTAATAAAAATATCATTTTGTGATCGAAGGACTTTGCCCTGTTTTATTCAAAATGCTTTCTTAAAAGTGATAATATTTTATTTATCCTGAAAAATAAAGAAATAGAACAACAATTTCAACATAATGAAACTCGTATATTCCTTTCCTCATTTGCAATGTTCATTTCACTTAAAGATTATGACATATACTCTGTGTTTCCAAAGAACAGATGTCAGTTTCATTGGCATTGATCAGATAAATGGAATAACAGACTAAACAGAATATCATGTTTTTGCCTTATGCTTTTTCACACGCAGAAAGTTCCCAATTTGTTTGTGGGCGGAAACAGCGAAAAATGTTACTCGCATTTTGATGGAAAAACATATTTGTAATAATCGGCGTATATTTCATCATCTTGCTTTCTGCTGTTATTAGAATATGTTGGCTGTTGATATGGTTACTAAAAACGAGGATTTTTTTGCCTGACGGCGAACAAGCGATCATGCGCTTAGAAGACGACCTGATACAGACCAGTACTACTTCTACAGATGGAGGCCTGTATTTAATTGATAGTAGAATTATGATGTAACAAACATACAATAAATAACAAAGGCTAGAGTAACTTGATCAAGAAACTGATCATATTAAATGCATGATATTGGAATGACTTAAGAGGAGGTCAGCTGCATCCTCTTATCCCTGTCTCGTTGATCAGCAAGACCTAGCACTACTGAGAAAGGCAGCTTCGCAGATAAGAAGTAAGCTGAATTTACTTAATATCCCAGGATTAGCAAAAGCTAGGATTAGTACCAAAAACTGTCAAATGGACAACTATATTTACCCAAAAAATCTTGCAATAATTCTGATTCTGTAGGGTTCAAACTTGCCACAAGAACAATAAACCACTTGAAAATAGACCAAAATCAGTATGCTATGTCTGATGCTCTAGATAAGGACATAACGGACTTTACCCCAGAAGAACAGCGTGTGGAGCAGCAGCCAAAAATAAAACGTCCGGAATAGCGACAATTATGTTAAACCTTGGCAATCAGTTTTAAGGATTTTCTGAACCATCCGGCAAATAACACAGATACAAATTTTCTGGAAAAATTAAATGGCAAATGCCTAAAAATTTTACCATTCACAGAAAACAACCGTAGGAAATAAGCGCTTTATTTTCCATGCTATGTTATCAATGTTAAACATAACAAAAACATTAAATTGGGGTTTTCTAACCACAACTGATAAAGAAGATAAAGAAAAAATTACTACAGCCCGCAATGAAAAAGCATTTGCCGTTCAGAAAATTGCACAATTAACACGCTGCAAGACTAAGGCTCCCATGCTGCTGATTCTGGCAAATATTATGCAAAAAGGCAGTGCTGTAAAAAAATTTGTAATCTCAGGAACTGTTTTATTTCTCCATTACTCTTGAGCAGTTAATATCCAAAAAATCAGGTACCCCGATGGCATCATTCATCTGATAACTGTTATCTCGAATCTCAGTGCTTAAAGTGTGCCTTATTGAACAGAACGCTCGATAGCCTTAGGAAAAAATGAACAGCCCAAGTGCAGCAATTGCCAAGCCGTCGGCTTGGTATCGTAAATTCCCGAAAAGTAGACTGAAATAACCAGAAGGAAGATAGTTTACTTAAACACGGCATTAGTTATTCTCAAAGTACTAAAAATCAAATTACTAAGCCCAACGTTAGGTCTCATGTTAAAATTAATAACAATGACCAAATCTCTGAATTCCTTAACTCTAGATTCAAATATTTGGCAAACACAAGCTGCTTTAATGAATAAAGCGTTTAAAAATACATGCCTAAACTTTCTCAAATCCTATATTAATTTCGACCATTTCCCTCAAAATGAACGGCTCTGAAATCGGTCCCTTCGCCCCACTGCTAATCCAGGTTATTTTGTTGAATTCACTTTCAGCCAGTCACTAAGCTCTTCAACCGACCAACCACAGCACTCTACTTCCTGATGTCAAAGCATACGTCACTGCAGCACTCAACACCTTCAACGCAGTAGCGCAGTTCACTATCGCGCCAACTTTCGAACAATATCAATTATATAGTATTGGAAGATGATAGGTTTATCCCACCACTCGCTGAGTAACTGTTGGGCTACTATAACTTTCTTCCTAACTAATAGTTTATTGTACGTACTTAAAAAAAATATTTCTATTCTTTTCCATGTTTTGATTTATAATTTGTAGTAATTAGTACATGTTCTATTTATACACAGGTTTTATTTTACCTATATTTTAACTTACATCTGTGTCATTATCTGTATTTTGTTCTTAGTATTTGAGAATTTAATACTCTGTACAGGAATGTATATTTTGAATTTTTTTCCCTGCACAGTGGTGTTGCATATAGTTTGATTTTATTTCTCGAGTCCGCCTGTCACTAGTGTGGTGGTTTACACTTCTGTCATCCTATTTATTTTATAGTTGCATATCTGAAATTTAACCCTAGAGCTACTCGTCAAGTCATCACTGCATCAGGATAACGATTACCTTTTTCTTTCATTTCATCTTCTTTGGAGCATTCACCTGATTGAACTTTAAAGTCATGGCTTTTTAGGCAAATCCTTATAGAGTGGTGTATACGAGCTAGATTCTCTTAGGAAGTCCTTCACGAAGGTATACCTCCCCTTAAGCAGATAGCCCTCTAGATCTTTGCCACAATAAAATAAAGCAAACCAACCGTTTAGAGCGAATGGCGACCCAGTCGGGCTATGTGCTTGAACATCTGTAATATATCCGTATATGCACGTATATTCAATGCTGCACGTCTCGTTGGGACACCTATTACCGACTTAGATTTTATCTGTAATGATGAATTTTCAGGCGCTCCCTTAACCTCATTCAGAAAATAATTGCTAATGTCGTTTTACAACCCATTACAGCCAGGACTTGACTCTGCCCAACGTGTGACTGGATTACCTAAGCCACTGATGCTATATTTTACGTATTTCGTTTTTCAATGCAATGTTCAATTTAGCAACAAAGACTTAGCAAATGATTTCTGGTTTAGAATCTTGAGAAATCGTAATGAGTACTGGTATTGAGTACTACAATACTGAGAAAACATCATTCCACGAAATATTTACGCTTTTTTACTCGCATATTATACCTATGACCTGAAAGCATTTTCATATTTGAAGAGAAGTATGGTAATATATATCGATACATTTGCAGAGAGTATATGTTTTTTTAATGCTGAAATGAATTTCTTAAGTGAAACTTAAATAGGATTCTGTCAAGAAAAAGGATTCTTTTTTCTTCATTTCTTGTGTTTGCAATATATACGCAATTTACCAACGATACAGATTTTCTACCTTTTCTCTGTCAACCCGATAAACATCTTTTACAGAAGTTGTTTTCACACTCTTTAGACGATTTTGCTTTGCTATAAAAAAATCGTCTGCTTGAAAATTTTTGTTTTAACTGAAACTATATTTTTCAAAGTATAAATTAAAACTGCTTCTTGGCAGTTGTGTTTTTGTGCAATGGATGGAAGGCTATGTTTCTACTCTTTCCAAAGAAACTTATTCGTATGCAGTTATTAAAAAACTTTGCGAAAGCTATCGTTTTTCGATATCTAAAGCTACAGTAAGTAATATTGTCAACAAGAAAGGAAACAAACACCAAAGTTTGGCTTCAAGTGGAAAACTTTTTCCGTACACATATCGAAGTAAAAACGCAATCTTTCGAATGTTGTAAAGGTAAGAACTTTAATGTTAAAAGAAAATCCGCATATAAACTATAAACAAAGAACATGTCAACAAAAGAATACGTCAAGCAAACAATATGTCATCTATAAACAAAGTGATTAATGCTGATTTAAATCTTAAAAAGTCAAAAAAAATAATGTGCATCATATTTCACCATGACATATCGCTGAAAGCAGAACACGTTGCAGAATTTTTTTTTTTTTTTTTTTTTTGAGAAAGATTTACCCGGACAAAATTGGAAAAATGTTGTCACAATAGATGAATCTTGGGTGCATTTAAACGCCTGCGATAAAAAGAGATTAATTTATTTTTATCAGAGAGGAGAAAACAATCTTAAATCATGGTTCAAATAATCTAAAGAAAGTTTTTCGAAGGGATTTATGATTGCTGCTGGTTTTTCATATGACGACAGATTAAAAAAAAAGAGATTGAACAAAAATGTTAAGATTAACCCCATATATTATCAGATCATACTTTATACCCAATTTTCAAATATGAAAAAGCCTTTTCTTTAACCACAGTGTGACTGCATCAAGACAAAGCAAACAGCCACACATCAAAATCCACTGTTAATTTCCTGAAAAAAAAGAAACAAGAAATGGGTGTCTAGGCCATAGCCTTCACGCATATCTCTATAAAATCTCCTGATGTATCACCTATGAATTTTTGCACTTTTGGACTTTTAAAAAGCAGATTGTTCAAACGTCGATCTGCAACCTTCCTTTGACTTTGGAAAGCTATTCAAAGGGAATGCGATAAAGTACCTTTTCCGATACTAGGAAAGGTTTTATTGCCTTGAGATTTTAGATGGAGAAAAATAGGGAAGAATAACGGCTATCAAACAGAACATTTGAAACACAAAAATGTGAGGAAAATATTTGTTTAAATACGATGAAAATCATCTAAAGAACGTGCAAACAGCCTTTGTAAATACAACAGACATTTAAACTGAATGTTTGGTGCATTTAAAACTGTATGAATTGTCTGCATTTGTAACATTCAAAATGATTTTAAGGCAGATATCCAAAAGATGCAAGATAACAATCTTCATATTTAATGCCATAAAGAGAACTTTCTGTATCTAATATGCACACAGTTGCATTAGATTTGTTCCGAAATGCATATGAACTGCATTTTCCCCCTAAAGTTTCACGACCAGTTCATCTATCCCTTTCCTTTAATATACACTTTATGTGACTGAAACATTTTGAACAAAAATCCAGGATTGGATCTCGTCAGCAATTAGATGTTAAAGAACATGGGAATCCTGATGACACTTAAGCTTACTAGAATTATCAATGATATGCTCTACCTAGGCCACTTTCCCTAGCCCTGGAAAACAGCAGTAATCTCACCCATCTTTAAACCTGGCAAAGCACCAATAGATCCTGCCTCGTACAGGCCAATTAGCCTGCTCTCTTCTACTAGCAAGATGACAGAATATGTCATGCAGCAGAGGCTACTCAAGCATGTTAACGACAACAACTTAATGGTTGATGAACACCATGAAGTTCAAGAAAATGAATTCGACGGTACATCAGTTGTATCGAGTTACTAATCGAGTTGTACCCCTTAATTGCTCGGAACAGCGTTTTATCTATTGATAATAAATTGCTCGTTTACAAAACCATGCTACGTTCTATAATTACTTGCGCCTGCCCTGTCTGGGGTATGCTAATGATACTGCAATTAAAAGACTGCAAGTACTGCAGAATGTTGTACTAAGACAGGCTGTGGATTGTCCGTGGTTTATTAGGAACTCGGCAATCCACAGAGAATTCAAAATACCAGAAATATATGTCTACATGGCAACCCTTGCCGAAAGATTTTTTAGTAAAATGACACTAATTCAATACCCCACTAGCCAGATGTTGAATTATGACTATAATGACGGGGCAAACAGAAAGCGACCGCTTGCGGTACTTAGACATCTACATTAATCAATATTAACATCATGTGAACGAGAATTACCTAAATATCAATATCAATATATATATATATATGAAAAAATGAAAAAAAAATCTAATAACTATATAGTATGTATTATCTCTTTCTGTGAATAACTCATATGCCTCAATTATTATTTATGCATACTTCATACCTTGTGCTATATCCATGTACCTATCACCTTGCTATGCACACATTGTATACAATTATGTCACCTCATTTGTATTTTATGTATATATTTCCCAGATCTTGTGTTTTGCTTTGTTTAATGTCGTCAGATAGATTTAATTATGTATTTATGTATGTCACACATTTGACTCTCTGAGATTTGACTCTGCAACTACTGGCATTCCTTTGCTTTGCTCGGTACCATCCTGTACTTAAACCTTTCTCCGCCTGAATTGGCCGGTCGGCTACAGCCGTAGCACGCTGGTCTCTGTCGTCTCATCATATTTTTCGCCATGGACTACCCGTAAGATTATGCCTACCTTTGCTTCATCTATGCCTTTCATCTGCGTTTAATTATTAGGACAACTTACGTTCGAAGCTTCAAATAATCGAAAATTTGCATCTATATACTCCGAGGTAGCGCCAAGTTGCGCGGGTACTACACTGCGAACAAATGTTTGCCTGAGTCGAACAATTTTGAAAATGTTATGTTTAACGCAGCCACTTCTTTTTTTAATTTCGACCAATATGAAGGTTACATTTTTTCACTTTCGTGTAACTTTCATTAACTCCTTCTGATTTTAATGCAATTTAACTCACAACAGTGATAATGAAATACATAGTTTTGGTGTCGATAAGGAAAAAGAAATATTATCAGTTTGAAACGTTTTTTCATTGATTGATTGCTTCCAAGTAAACGCCAGTGGAAAAGTATATGAAATATGTATCTCAATTTGCATAGATTTTTAGCACTTTTTATGACTGTTTAAAATAATTCAGAAATGTACATAATGGTGTGAAGTACTGCCTCTCGTAATAATGCCTTGCGGCGGGATTTACAAGACTAAATAACCACGAAATGGTGTTAATAACCTACCCGCTTCTCCATTAAGTTAATCAACGTTTCCTTCAAGATTTGCTGGAAAAAAAATCTCTCTCTGTGTCTTATAAAAGAAGATTAATTGTAAAGTTACAGATCTAATCGGAAGATTTAGGCAACCAGTATAACTTTACTGAAGAGGTTTTACTGATGTCGAAAGCGAGTGAACGAAAAAAACAAAGACTCGCAATTTTTATTCACAAAGTTTTACAACATTTCAAGTATTTGCAATAGCTAAATTATAAAAAGCAAATATACTCTGTAATATATTATGTTTTTTTCTTCTCCTCAAGGTTTTCTTTTGCCATATCTGTGTTTGGAGTTGTTGCGGTCAGAGCTGGAATTTCTCTTCAAATTCAAACCGACTTTACTACAGCTACGGAAGAAAGATTTCTTCAGCCTTGACGAGAAGTCCTGTAGTGAAAGTCCGGGGTAATTTATTTTGGATCCCTGCCGGCATTTGGAATGCGATAATTGCCCAGGTGTCATCATGGATTTTCGAATCAGCTTGGATTACATAGTGGAGAATCCGGATTACACGAAGAAATTGGCAAACGGTGAGTAACGACTTTTTCGTCATTAATATTTTATTATTATATATTAAACTTTGAAATAATATTAGAACACGTAATAAAATCGAAATAGTTTTAGCATCTGGATTTAATCATCTATAGAATATTTATATGCTAGTAGTTATGAAAAATAGCACCCTTATTTCCATCTGTATTTAAAAAATTCTTATGATTTCTGATAACTACATAATAATCAGCTTATAAAAAAGTAATTTTGAGTCATTTTCTTTTACTTGTATTAGTCAAAATAAGTTTTGTTAATAAAAGACAAAAGTGTTTTAATTCGCTTTTTTGAATTTGAATGTTATTTACATATTTCAGAGAATTAATTCTGGGTATATGTTTACTTTCACATATTTTATCTGATATATGTATGGAAAAGAAAACGTAACAAAAGTTAATAATATTTTTTAATATAATTGCTTCCTTATACCTTATAACTAGATATGCTCGTGTTATGCCTTCGGTAACAGCTATCGTATGACTGGCTATAGAGTTTGCTTTAGACATGAACTAACAAGTGATTACAATTAAATAATCAACTGGTGAAGAAATTCATTTGTTTCTTGATAATTGTTTGAATGAAGAATTCATTAAAGTCCCAGATATTCACATTTACTCCTCCCTCGCTGCATGCCTTCCTGGTCCAACTGGAAAGCATGTCAGGCTAGCAATTGGGAGGATTAGAGTCCGAACTCCGAGAGCAGTGCTAGTGTTTCGCATTCCGTGCTCCGAAATAAACCTAATGACTCTACATAATTATATATTTCTTCATAGAGTTTCCGTGCGCTATTGTTTAAGGCTTTGTTTTCATAGTTTCATAGATACAGTTTTACTTCGGAACGAAAACTATAACAATGAAAACACAGTTAAATATCCATGGAAAATCTGTCAGCATGATTAGATAAAATTAGATAGATTGTAACGCAAGTAGAGAATTTTATTATTTAACATTCTCTTTTTCTTTAAAAATATATATAAAACCAAAACAAGCTAACATTTTTTAATCTGATGTCACTCTTTGTAGATCTGTCAGCTTGGTGCTTTTGCAATGATATCATCCCAATATTGCGTTTTGAATTAAAATAATTCTTAATAAAAGAGAGAGTTGATTTATTTTCTTAGTGGTATTTAAATAAAAGCATTTCATAAATTCCACACATAAGTAAGTGCTTTCAAAAGCATTTTCCCTTTTTAGAAATCATATAATGTTCCGGAAATCATTAAAAGGTAAGTTATATATTTTCATGTTATAATTAAGACAAGAGTTGAAGACTGGAAACAGACCATGGTTTCACAGAAACGGTAAGAAACTTAATTTAATCATGGTAAGTTACCAAGCTCTTATTGAAAAGATAAAGGTTCGTAAAAAGGTGGACAAGTTAACCTTCATTCTCTATAAATGCATTTCATGATAATTTGGAATTTTAAAAATAAATTATTAACTGCTAGGAAAAGGATCAGAGATGAATTACCATGCATAAATATGGGTCCCCATTTATCTTATTATTTTAGATTTTCTATTTTTGGTTCATATGTATTCTTATGCAATAAAACTTCATATATTTAGTTTTTTGGATTCAAGAGTTAATCGAAAAATCGCACTTTTAGTCTTTTATATTTATTTTAGACTTAAAACTTTCAGTAATAGTTTATCTTGGTATAGTAACAGTTTCAGTATCATCATTTTTATTTGATATCTGATTTACCTTTATACCTTAGCATGAAGAAGAACTGGTTAAAAGAGCCACTAACTCTTATTCCAGTCAAAGGGTATCCACTACATATTTTGAATCTACGTATGTGTTTTGGGTGCTCAGTTGATCAGTCGTAAGTTATTGAAAGTGGAGACATGTAGTATCACGCGAGTAAAGAATTACAGATTTAAATATGCTATTACCCTGTTTTATAGATCAGTAATCGATTCAGTATCCATATCATATATACTTAAATCACCTCTTTATAAATATATAGTTTATTATTACCAGAAACTATCTAAAAATCAGCTTTTGTTTCAATGCTCAGTTTATGGCAAATTTCAAAATAAATAACATATTCCAGAATTTAAATTTTAAATTTTAAGTGAGGGGAAATTTAAAAAAAAGTTCGTATTATTTTGTTCAACTTCTCAGCGAATATAAGTTGCTGATAGAAAAGAAATTTGTCTTCGTCGGCCACGCTGTCGTCGCACGTATGCTAAACTATTCATTCCTGATTTAACAGCCCACCAGCGGCTAAGCGGTAAAGTCGCTGAACACTGGTAGTTCGGTCCGAGGTTCGAATCCCGCGAACGGGCTGGCTGCATGGTCGTTTTCTTGGTTTTCCCCGTGTGTAACATGTATACGAGCCAGTTTCCCTTAGAAAGTCCTCACGAAGGCATCCCTCTCCTTAGGCAGATAGCCCTCGAGACTTTGCCATAATCACACACACACCTGATTTAACAAACTTATATTGTACATAAAATGGTAAAAGCTGCAAGCTACTTAAGTATTCAGTTTATAGTTTGATATAAATTGATATGAGAGCACCTATCGCTTTTGCCGGTTTTTGAGTTAAATTATTAAAAATATGTTTTTGTTTTCTTTTGTCTACAAACTATGATTAAGCAGAAAGAATTGCCTGTGTATTTTATATTCTCACTGTCTTTTTTTCACATTTATATTTTATAAGTAGATATTCAAATACACATTGGTAATTTAATGCTATAGGCGAACCAATATACTGCAGTATTTAATGCGCTTGCTTGTACTTGCAGCTCTCGTCTTTCTTATTGTGCAAATTTCTAGGGCTTTGGTTAGACGCGTTGCATTAGAGCAACATTTTCAAGTCAAGAGTACTTCGATTCTTCGAGCATAATACATCGACTTTCAATAACTTATAGTGTTAAAGTGCCATCCGCAAGCACTTAAGCTCATTTTAAGCAATGTATGTTGTATTCTGACTGACTTTTTTTCACACTTATATTTTACATGTAGACTTTCACACATACACATTGGTCATTTAATGCTGTGTTCATCGTACACTGCTAATAATTTAACGCCCTTTGATAGCTAGGTAATATAAATCAGTATTCTTTGCAGTACTAAACAAAATGCACTTGCTTATACATGTAGCCCATGTGTTTCTTAGTGTATAGATTTCTAGGATGTTGGTTACGCGCGTTACATTAGCGCAAGTCAAGAATACTTCGATTCTTAGAGCCAAGTACTTCGATTTTCAGTGACTTATAACATTAAAGTGTCATTTGCAAGTAATAATCTTCATTTTACGCAAATTATACATAAGACCAAATGCAATGTCATTGTTTTCTCTCAAAAAGTAAATTAGTTTGAAAATATCGTTTACCACCTTCTCTCTTTTCACTGACTAATGATATTATAATTTAATTTGACTTGATTTTCTAATTATATTATTAATTTAAAATCTGATAAACTACAATTAAAATATTATGGTTAAAAATTAAACAAGAATAAAAAATTACAAGGCAGTGTATATCATAAATTTCGAAACAGTAGGACAATAAATCACTCCGTTCTTGTAATATTTCTGAAATAGCCAGTTTGATATATGTAGAAATTGGCCATCAAGACACCATTATCTGAGTATGCCTTCCTTCTGTTTTGAACTCTTGTGACATGACACCATGGATTAGAATTCGGAAGCGTTTTCTCTTAAAGTCGGTAGAAACGAACAGAAGTACCTGATTTCGATATCTTTTCCCGTTGGTGAACTTAAGTTTTCTATGACTGTGACAAGGATAAAAAGAGAGAAAATAATCATTCAAAATTAATTTATTCTGTTAGAGTTAAAATTTCAGTTATTTTGATGAAATCGTGCAATATACTCATGCAATGCCAAAAGCTCCTGCTGCTTAAATGCTGTCGGCTTTTCTTTATAAACTCAAACCGAATTTCATCACGTATGTATTCAGCTTTCTTCCTGCCTCAGCGGTTAACGCCTTGTGAAAATAAAGTGAACAATATACCTTAAGTGACTGTGATTTTTATAGGTTAATTTACAAAGCATTTATGTTTTCTTATATTTACTTGTTATAAAACAAATTATTGTACACACCCAGTTCCGCTAAGGTAGTTTTCCTTCCAGATGCACAAAAACATAACATACCTAAAAACGTGAATAATTAAAAAGAAAACAGATAGTGTCAAACTTCAATAAGCTGAAATTAAAGGAAGGCGAAAGAAGACTTTCTACTAATCCAAAATTGAATTTTTCTAGAAAGTCTGATTTTAATTTAAAATTGCACTTTTCGACATTCAGTTCGGTTTATCGTAAAGTTATTGAAGTTCGAATAATTGAAATTCTTCTGAAAATATACTTAACAAAGGCAACATTTTCTATTTTGCGTATCTCAAAGTATATTTCATATTATTTTCGATTAAACTAAAAATTTTAGTCTATGGAAGCGAAGATAAAGAAGATCTGGATGCCTTGAGCAGTGCTTTTTCTTTTCAGTCACAGATCCTTATGAAGAGTTTCGATAATCTTGACAACTCCTTGGTGAAAAATAGGTACTTTTCTCTTCCTCACAAATGAAATGTTATTATTTTTGAATGTTTTTGAGAGAAATGTTTTCTTGTTATGAAGATGAAGTGGTACAAAATAGGAGATAAATTGTACTTAAAGTTAATAAAAGGGGGTAGTCAGTCCTTCACACAAATTATATATCTTCAGGAACAGTGCCTTCTCAGAAAACAGATAAAGAGCTCATTTTGATGCATGAGTTCTATTTCTAGCTGGCTTTTTTAAGTGCTGTTATAATGGCTGCTTATCTTCTCGATCCGAGGCCCTGATACTGATTTGAGGCAAAATTGCCGTATGACTTTTGCCCAGCTCCGTGCCAGTTTGATCGATGACACTCTTGGGAAAGGAATACAAAGTTCTCTACCCCACTTCCTCTCCATCAGCCTCTCGAGAGGCTTTCGGATACACGGATTTTAAGAGCCGCCATCCCGCAAAGACACTAT